TTTGTTGTAGTTTGAAGTGATTCTTTTGTTAAGCCTGAAACCTGCCACCCATTCCTCTGCAGGGTGAGGAGGACCCAGGGCCTTCGGTAAGTTAGACGTGTGGGAGCCTTACTCCCAGGCTAGTGTGAATGAAGGATTGGGTGACAGGCAGTTAACGAGTTGCAGCTGCAATTGCTGAATGCAGGGCTCTGCCTCCTGAGAGGAGCAGCTCTACAGTGTAGCTCCCTGACCTGTTGACTCTGCCCAGGAGTGCAGAGGATAGGTCCACATGCAAGGGTTTGTATTCTGCTTCATCGTAGGTGCAAGCTAAAGCACTAACTTCCATCTCAGTTCTTCTTTTTTAGTTGTTGGAAAATATACAAAACATAGTTTGCCATTTTAGCATTTTAAGTGTCAATGCTTTGAACACATTGACATTCCACCGCCATCTCCTCTTCATCCCAGACCGAAACCCAAGTGTGCACTGATCAGCACTCCCCATCCACCCTCCTCCAGTCCTGGTAACTGCTCTTTTATTTTCCAGCTTTGAAAGTCTGACCACTCTTGGTTCCTATGTCAGTGGAATCATATGGTTTTTATCTTTTGTGGCTGGATTATTCCTTGGCATAACATCTTCATGATTCTTTCATCTTGTAGCACAGGTCAGAATTTCCTTTCTTTTTAAAGGCTGAATAATATTCTTTTATATATGTACACAGGTTGCATGTGCATGCATGTGTTTGCATTTACACGTTATGGTTTAGATATGAGGTGTCCTCTAAAAGCTCCTGTTGATTCAGGAATGTTCAGAGGTGAAATGATGGGGCTTATGAGGGCTGAGACCTAATAATTCTCTACTGGTGTGAATGCACTGGCTGGGAGTAACTGTAGGCAGGTAGGTCCTGGCTGAAAGAGGTGGGTCAGTTGGGGTATGCCCTGGAAGGGTGCATTTTCCCTGTAGCTACTACTCTCACTGCCTCTCTGTTTCCCGACTTCACCATGAAGTGAGCAGTTTTCCTCCTGTGGGCCCTTCCACCATGATGCTCTGCCTCGTCCCTGGCCCAGAGCAATGGACTTGGCCATGGATGGACTGAGAGCTCTGAAACTAAGCCCCAAATAATCTTTTCTTCCTTGGAGTAGTAGTTCTTGGATGCCTTGGTTAGAGTAATGGAAAAGCTGGCCAAAAATATGTGTATCATATTCTGCATGTGTATATACACATGTTCACATACATGCACATGCGTGTGCACCTAGACATATACATGCACATATATACATGTAAGTGTATACACACATGTATACACTTACATATACTTCATGTGCATACATGTGCCCAACACCAATTATCCCCTCATCCACTGGTCCATGCTTGGGGTGCTTCCATGTTTTAGCTGCTGTGATTAACGCTGCTGAGAAAATAGTGTGTGAATCTCTCTTTGGGCTTCCTGCTTTCAGTTCTTCTGGGTGTACCTACAAGTGGAACTGGTGGCTTACAGGTGATTTTTTGCCTAACTGCTGTACCGTTGTCCATAGAGCTCCACCACTTTAATCCCCACCAGCACCTCACAGGGAGCTGCCAATTCTGAGCTGCTGGGAGGATGCACATATGGCCCACAGGAGGAAGCTGGCCTTCAGGTGGCTTTTGTGATTAGGAGTAGGAAGACTGCCCACAAGCAGAGGTGACAGGCCGAGTCAGCTGGGTCAAAAAAACTGATGAGTCTCCACAAAATTCCAGAGCAGAGGTGCCTGCAAAGCAACACTGTGCTTCTTATTTGACTCGCACAGTGGGGAAGCCAGAGGAAACTGTTACGGAATGCTGTGGTTTTCAGAGTGTTTTAGTCTGTATGTCATGGTGAATTAGCTGGGACTGTGAGGAACCAGGCCTCGTCCCTAGCTCTGGATTCTAGTGGCTTCTGCTACAGGCTGGGTCTGGTATGTCCCCAGAGGCCCATGTGGTAAAGTCTGTTCCCTAGGGTGATGCTTTTGGGAGGGGTGGGGTCTGTAGGCTATGAGGCCTATGGGAGGGCTTTAGGCCACTGGGGACATGGCCTCCCTGGGGGCAGTGGGACACTAGCTGCTCTCCCCTCCCCATTGCTGTCCCTGAGGTGAGTGCTTCTGCCCTTGTCCACACTCTTGCTATGCTGTGCTGCCTTGACATGGGCCTAAAAGCAACAGGGTCCATCACTCATGGAATCAAAACTGTGAACCAAAATAAACCTTTTCTCTTTTTAAGTTGGTTGTCTTAGAAGTTATTATAGAGATGGGAAACTGACTAGCTAGCATAGTGGCCAAAAGTGTGTTTTTAATGGTTACTTGTTCAGTGAGATTATAAAAATAGTGCCCGCTCATACTCTCTATCTCTGCTTCATCTTCCTGGATATTTTCCCAAAGTACGTTCCTTAGAACACCAGCTCTCCAGGACATTAGTAGACTGTACATGCAAAAAAGGATTTGGTTTCAGAGATTTTTGTTTAAATATTCAAATGCTTATGTGGTTTTTAAAATGGCTTTATTTTTTAGCATTGATTCAAAGTCCTAGTATTGTGTGGGGCCTTTTGAGACACATTGTTCCAGACAAATGAAGCTTCATATATTCTAATTTTTCCTTCTATGGAAATTGACATTCTATGGGGGAGCAAGATGACATGTTTACAGACTGGGAGGAAGCAGGTCCAGTTCTCCCTCAGCTGCTAGCTGCACGCATGTGGGGACTTCTGCAGTTTCTTTTTATTTATTTATTTTTTTAGTTGTTGATAGACCTTTGTTTTGTTTATTTATACACGGTGCTAAGAATGGAACCCAGTGCCTCACACATGCCAGGTAAATGTGCTGCCATTGAGCCCCAGCCCCAGCCTCTTCTTCAGTGTCTTTAAGCTTCAGTTTCCTCCTTTGTGAAACAGATGAATCTTAACTTTTTCAGCATTAAGTGAGATGTTGACTCACCTGCTGTGTGCTGCCTTGTGAATTGCAACCTGCAGAGAGCATTGGGGTGCAATGCTTTGTAGTTTGTTGTTAGAGACAACTAGCCTCTTTCTTGGATTATACTTGTTTAAGTTTCCAAACCTGTTAACTAACTGGCTCAGTCCAGGCGCTGTCAGAACAGCACTCATGAGCTGGAGGGGTCCCATCCATCAAGCTAGCTGCCCATCAAACAGCCTACTCTAGAGAAGTCTGGTTGCTTTCATCGCAGGCTGCTGACTCTTACACAAGTTCAGTGCTTTGCCTCCCCATCAATCCTGCTTACTTGTATCTGATGTTAACTTGTAAAATCTGATTTCCAAGTTTATTCTGAAGATATCAGGTGTCTCCTGCTATGTGGATCCAGGATCTTCTCTCTGCTACGTCTTGCCTGCCCATCCCCAAATGGCTTCGTTGATCACTCCTGATTTCTCCTTGGGCCCTTCTTAGGCCCTTCTTCTGCTCCCTGAACCTCTCTGAGTGTTGGCAGCTTGTGGAGACCTTGCTTCCCCTGCAGACAGGCCAGGACCCATCTTTCCAGGTACGGCCTTGCCTTGCTCACTGTTCTTCCACACTGTGCCTCTACATCCTCCCAAGTTCATCTGATAAATACTCACTGCATGCTCCATGTGGCAGAGGGCTGCCAGTGATGGCCACCAACACTTTCTGCCCTCTCTGAATGTCTGCACTGCTCCCGCCTACCAGGAGTGGAGCGTCCCCTCTGACTGGGTCTTTGCCAGTGGTGACTTGGTCTGAGTTGAAGTGCTGCTGTGCAGGTCCTGGGCCTGGAGCTTGAGGATCTTACTGCTCCCCCTCCTCCTCCTCTTCCTCCTTCCCTCCCCTCCCCCTTTTTCCTCCTGTTCCTTCTCTTCCTTTCCTCTTCCGTTTCCTCCTTTCTTCCGCCTCCTCACCTTCCCAGCAAACTTTTTCTGTAAAATGACTGATTGTTGATAGTTCGGTTTAGTAGAAGGGCACTGTGGTTTTCAACTACTTGTCTCTGCCACTGGAAAACAAAGGCAGCTGTAGATAATTTGTAAAAATGAGTGTGGCTGTTTCTCCCCCCCCCCTTTTCTCCTTTTCCTTCTCCTCCTCCTCTTCCTCCTGATCCTCTTTTTCTTGTCCCCCAACAACCCCTCGGTGGTGTTAGAGATAGAACCCAGGGCCTCTCACATGCACCTTAACCTACGACCAGCCCTGGCTGCTTCTGCTTTTGCTCTCTTG